GTTTCCTGTCCCCGTTCTTTTTAGAGCGTCCCCTGGTTGCCGGCTGGGGGCAGTAGCGTTCTCGCTGGCACAGGACTGTCCTGATCTTCCCCGGAAGCAGGTGGCGGCCACCGTCAGTCCTTTATTTTCTGGTGAGCGCTGCTTGCCCAGATTTCCTTTCGCCATCAATCCAGGTGCCAGTCTCAGCGGTTTGCATCATTTTTGTCAAGGTAGCTGCCCAGTCTTGCTGGTTACGCCGCCTCTGGCCTGCAGACTGGAAGCTCAGACCCTGGCATGGCCCAAGAAGGGGACGACTGGGGTCAACAGACTCGTGGGGACCTGGTGGCGGAGCCTGGCAGTGCACCTGAGAGCTGAACACACTTTTAAAAGCTCATCCAAGAGGCTGGCGCTGGGGTGTAGCGGGTAAAGCTGCTGCCTGCAGTGCCAGCATCTCATACAGGCGCCGGTTCAAGACCCAGATGCTCCACTTCCAACCTGGCTCTCTGCTATAGCCTGGGAAAGCAGAGGATGGCCCAAGTCCTTAGGCCCCTGTGTCCATGTGGGAGATGTTCATGTGGGAGACCTAGAGGAGGCTCCTGGCTTTGGATCAGCGCAGCTCTGGCTGTTGTGGCCAACTGGGGAGTCAACCAGTGGCTGGAAGACACCTCTCTATCTCTCTCTCCCTCCTTCTCTCTCTGTATAACTCTGCCTTTCAAATAAATCAATCTTAAAAAAAGAAAAAAAAAAAAAAGAAAAAGGAAAAAAAAACCCAAAACTCCTCCAAGAGAATCCCGGGACAGGGCAGATCCAGGAACACGTTTCTCACTTCCTTTGTGTTTCTTTTCTGGGAGGATTCATCGGAAAAGGGGGTCTCCTTCATCCACACACCACCACACATACATCCGGGCAAGCTCAGAGCAGCACTTGTGGCTCTCCCCAGAGCCGGACACTGGAGTCCACGAGCAGAATGGCCACACCCCTGTGCCCATCCCCAGATTCCGATTCCAGCCTGGGGTCCTGGCGGTCAAACCCCGGGGCAGATGCCCAGGAGGTGTGGGACTTCAGGACTGATTTCCTGTGCCCTATTTAGTTCTTCAGAAGAAATGGCTGCCACGGCTGAGAATAGGCTGCTGGCTTCTCTGGAAGGCGGCGGCGCGTGGGAACCAGAGGCCCTGCTCGCCCAGGAAGCAGCTTCACGGTGTGGGGAGGGGTGCGGGTTTTCACAGAGTTTAGCAACAAGGTCGGAGCCATGATACACCTTGAAACACTGGGCCCGAGCTCCACATCGCTCTCTGTGTAGGTTCCAAGAATCTGCAGCTTCTAGCTGAAGCTGCCAGCGCTCAGAGCTGTAGGCCAAGGGTGACACTCCTGGCTGAATTCAGACAATCTTGAGGAAGACAAAGAACCCAGCCGGCATCTGTTTGGCCACAGACTCAGCCTGAAGCCACTCGGTCCCACTGGAGACTTGAACCAAAGGCACCGCAAACTTGGGCGATGGCCCAAGCCCCTGGCACTCCTGGGATCTGAGGCCCAACAGGCCTCAGCCTACAGCTTGCCTGTCCTCCACGGCTGGTCTTCCGCTGACACCTTCCCCCAGTCCTCCCCCTCCCCCCGTCACACAGGGAACGCGTGTTGGCTCCCCCTGCACATGACTCCAAGGCCCCTCCTTCTCCATGCGATTCTGCCAGGACCCAGGGCGATGTCTGTAACCCACATCTCCACAGGGAAGCCAGCAGGTGGATTTGTTCGGTCTACCATTGGCATTCCCTGTCTTCGACTCTCAGGGGAAGAACGGAGACAATGAGTCTCCGCGTCTCTGCCAGACACCAGCTTTTCTCTGGACAAGCAGTCCGGGAACAGCTTTCGATCTCCTTTAGGGCCCGGATGGAGTCTCGTTCGTTGTTGTCTCCCCAGGGCTTGGCCAAAGGCCCGGAACAAAGTTGGCACCAGATAAATCTTTGCTAAATTAATGTTTTGTTAGACACCCATGTATTTATTACGCAGTTGGCTCCCGGTCATGGCCATCTGCATCCCGAGAGCTGCTGGTTTGCATCGGCATTTTCCTGTTTGAGCTGATGGCCACTAACTGGACTGCGTCAGTGGAGCTGACTTTTAAGGACCTGCGTGGGACAGGAAGAGGCCGTGTCAGATGTCCTGGGAGAGCATCCCACTTTAACGCCTGCTCTCCGCTTCTGAGCTGTCGCAGGCACTTGGCAAACACGAGTGAGTGGTGTGCTGTGCTGGGAGGCTGGTCAGTGGGCTCCTGAGGGCGGCCTGACCTTGACCTTCTGGCAGACAACCTGCTCCAGCCAGATGGCAGGATGGAGCATGGCCTATGGCCCAAACAGCAGGTCAGCCAGTGTCTGCTAGGGGTGAAGCCACTTTTCAGTGCTGGGGAGGACACGGAGCTGAATCAGATGGCCATGCTGAGGGGACCACGGAGCCGCCGTTTGGAGTCTTCCCGTGTGGCTTTCAGCCTCCAATGCTTCATCTGCACAGTGGGGTGCAAACCAGCACCTCCTCTGTAACATCCGAGGACTCACGCAAGGATGGAAGTGGGGCAGGTGGCAGGGGTGTGGTGACAGGTCTCCAGGCTGCCACGTGTGGGGGTCGCCCCGGGAGAAGACGCAGAGGGCAACTGAGGAAGCCAACTCTGGACGGCAGCAGCCTGGGAGAGTCGGAGTTTAGATTTTATTCTGTATTTGGACCCACTGAAGTGTTAAAAAAAAATAAAGGTAACATGACCAGAACAATGGTAGCAGAAAGGAAGAAGGGGAGAAGGGACAAATCTGAAAGGGGATTGGATGTTGATAATAAAAAAGTATGAGGCGGCCAGTGTTGTGGCACAGCGGGTTAAGCCTTTACTTGCAATGCTGCATACCACATCAGAGTGCCGGTTCAAGTCCCAGCTCCTCCACTTTTATTTATTTTTAAAGATTTATCTATTTATTTGAAAGTCAGAGTTACACAGAGAGAAAAGGAGAGGCAGAGAGAGAGACAGAGAGAAAGGTCTTCCATCCTCTGGTTCATTCCCTGGTAGAAGCCAGGAGCTTCTTCCGGGTCTCCCACGTGGGTGCAGGGGCCCAAGCATTTGGGGCCATCTTCCACTGCTTTCCCAGGCCATAGCAGAGAGCTGGATCAGAAATAGAGCAGCTGAGATGTGATCCAGCACCCATATGGGATGCTGGCACCACAGGCAGCAGCCTTCCCCTCTATTACACCACAGCGCCGGCCCCAGCTCCTCCACTTCTGATCCACCTTCTTGCTGTTGTGAGTGGGAAGGCAGCAGAAGACAGCCCAAGTACTTCAGTTCCTGTCACCATGTGCAAGACCAAGATGGAGTTCCTGGCTCCTGGCTTTGGCCTGGACCATGAGTGGCTGCTGTGAGCGTTGGAGGAATGAATCAGCAGATGAAGATCTCTGTCTCCCCATCTTGCTATTATCAATCCCTTTCAAACAAATAGGATGAGAAAAAGAAAGCGCTCAGACTGGAAACAAGCTATCCATTTTATCAATCATTGGATTTTTTTTTTTTAATGTCAAGTAGGTCTTTTTGAGCTATAAGTCTTGAGGCCCTGGGGTCGGCACTGTGGTATAGTGGGCTATGCATCCGCCGGCACCCCATATGTACACCAGTTTGTGTCCCGGCTGCTCTGCTTCCGATCCAGCTCTCTGCTATGGCCTGGGAAAGCAGTAGAAAACGGCCCAAGTGCTTGGGCCCCTGCACCCACATGGGAGACCCGGAAGATGCTCCTGGCTCCTGGTTTCGGATTGGTGCAGCTCCGGCCATTGCGGCTGGGGATTGAACCAGCAGATGGAAGACTTTTCTGTCTCTCCCTCTCTATGTAACTCTCTCCAATATATAAATAAAATCTTAAGAAAAAAAAACAAAACACTAGTCATCTCAAAATTGCAATCACCATCAAATCTCAATCCAACCTAACAGGTCTTAAAAAAAAAAAAAAAGTTTTGAGCCCATGAACTACATCCTGCCCATTATTTGCCTAAATGTCTAAGCAAACCTTTTGAGTTCTTGGGAACACTTGACTATGAGTAGTACCAGGAAGCCCCTGCACTCAAAAATATCTCATCATGTCAACGAACTGAATCTTTTAAGATGCATTAACTTGGGTGGCCTGTGGTGTGTAGTGGGCTAAGCCTCTTCACGTGGGGCCAGCATCCCATATGGGCACTGCTTTGTGTGTTTTCTGCTCCTCTTTGGATCCAGGTCCCTGCTAACAGCCTGAGAAAGCAGTGGAAGATGCTCCTGCACCCACGTGGGAGACCCAAGAGAAGCTCCTGGCTCCTAGCTTCCAGTTGGCCCAACTCCCACCATTGAGGCCATCTGGGGAGTGAACCAGCAGTGGAAGACCCCTCTGCCTCTCAAATAAACAAAATACATTTTTTAAAAAATGCATTAATTTTTAAAAGGATTTTTAAAAAATTTATTTGAAAGGCATAATTAGAGAGAGAGGGAAGAGATAAAGAGATCTTCCATCCTCTGGTTCACTCCCTAAATGGCCCCAACAGCTGGGGCTGTGCCAGGTGGAAGCTAGGAGCTTCATCCAGGTCTTCCACACGGGTGCAGGGGCACTTGGACCATCTTCCACTGCCTTCCCACGTGTGCATTAGCAGGGAGCTGGATCCTAAGGACTGGCAGGGTCGCAGGCGGTGGCTTAACCCACATCGCCGCAGCGCTGGCCCAAGATGCACTGATTTTTTTCCCTCAAGAATATAAGAATGTAAGAGCCTCGGTTGGATTGGGAGGTAGGGCGTGGGAGTCACAAGTTCATATGAATTATGTGGTGCAAGGGTTTATGTACAAACTTTTGAGTCTCAACTAATAAGGTCAAATTTAAGCCATCTGCCCCAGAACCACTCATGTTCATTAGCGTTTCTCTCCCATTCCCATGGAGTCGCGCCGACGTGGTGCCCCCACCCCGCCCTGCACCTTGCTGTCATAATCAACCCAACCTCCGCCTCTTCCCCGCTTCCTTACTACAGGTGGGTGGGAGGCCTAAGGAAGCAGCAAACCGCGTGTGCACCTGCAGGGCGCTGTGCTTACAGGACGCGCGGCTCTGCCTAGCGGGGCAGTCCCAGCTACTTCCACCTGGCGGTGGACGCGACGGGGCCGCCAGAGCTGCCCGGACAGCAGAGCTACCCGGCAGGGGCGGCAGGGGCCCGGCCTCGGAAGGCAACTTTTAAAGAAAGTATTTTCCATCTATAGAACGTAGGCCGGGCGACTCGCTGAATGTAACGTCCTCCCCGTCCTAGTTCCGAAGGCCTGCCAGCAGGAGACGAATGAGCGCCGCCGGGCCGCCCCAGGACTCCGCGCCCGCACCGAGACCACACCAGGCTAGACTCTCGGCAGTTATTCCCGACATGCTCCTTTCCGGGATTTCAAACCCAGCAACCACCACGTCCCCACCCCTGCCCCAGCAACAGGCGGGGGCTTGCTCCTCATTGGCCGGAGCCCGAGCCGCCGTGTTCTGATTGGCCGCGGAGCCCCCCGCCCTGCGTCTGCGCTCGCTGTCGCCTCCATTTTGTCGGTAGAGGCAGGAGGCGGACGTCGGGTTGGAGACACCAGGCGGTCGGCAGCTAGCTGGTCGGTGCTTGCGGGTTGTTTGATCCGTGCCTCGTCTCTCCCTGGAAAGGGAGGGAGGCCTCTACGTCGAGAGGCAGCGGCCGCCGTAGTTCCGAGCGTGAAGTCGGTGAGTGGCGGCGGTGCCGCGGGCGCGGCCATGTTGGCGGCCGCGCTCCATTGTTGGGGGAGGAGGTGGGGAGGCCCGGGCGCGGCTCGAGGCGCAGCCGCTCGCAGCCTGGGGGTGTGGGAGGGCGAGTGCTGGGGTTCGGACCGGGACTGACTGTTCCTCGGGGCTGGTAAAACTGTCTGCAGGCCCCTCCCCGCCGGGAAAGGGCGAAAGGAGGCTCAGGAACTCCTTGGAACCCGAAGTGGAGACGAAACCGTGTTGAAGTACTGGTTGGAGAGCGGCGGTTTTGCCCGTTTCTGACGGACCACACTTGGGTGTTGGGCCGGGGCGGAGCCGACGGCGCAGGGCGGCCGTGCTGTCGCAACAATGCGAGTCCCGCGGAACTTGCGGCCGTGCGCTCCGCGGCGGTTGTGAGCCCGGTTCCTGGGAGGGCTGGAGAGGCTGCCGCTTTCCTGGGTGACGTGAACTGGTCGGGAGAGCGTCTGAAGGCTCTCCCCGGAGGCCGCTGTGGGGGCCTCCCAGTGGTGACGGGCTGAGGCCCCGCACGGCCGCCACCAGAGACGCTGCCTGCCTCGGCGTTTGCGCGTCGACCTTTGGCCGGGTACACGAGTGACAATGTCTCCTTTCCCAGCTAGGACTTCTCTCACGCTTGTGTGCTGAGGACACTCAGATGTTGGCCTCAGCTCCTAGGCTGAACTCGGCAGACCGGCCCATGAACACTTCTGTCCTGAGACAAAGGAGAGGATCGGCCAGAAAGCAACACCTAGGACCCTGGGCGTGGCAGCGAGGGAGAGGCCAGGCCGTGGGAACCCTGCACTCTGGGCAGCAGACTGAAAGGTACAGAAACTCCCATCTGACAGGGGGCTGTCTTAGGAGAGGCAGCAAGCCAGCCACGTACACTCGGAGCTGAGCAGTCTGAGTTAAGCAGCTGAACAGTGTTACCCAGATTTCTGTATCTACACGTTAGGGCCATAGAAGCTTAAACAGAATTTTTAATCTTTCTGACTGAAAATCTACTCAATGTTGCTTCCGTTCATTTGTAGGTGACAAAGAAGCTGAAGATGGGTGGTGGAGAGAGGTATAACATTCCAGCCCCTCAGTCTAGAAATAGTAAGAACCAGCAGCAGCTTAACAGACAGAAGACCAAGGATCAGAATTCCCAGATGAAGATTGTTCATAAGAAAAAAGAAAGAGGACATGGTTACAACTCGTCAGCAGCCACATGGCAGGCCATGCAAAACGGAGGGAAGAACAAAAACTTCCCAAATAATCAAAACTGGAACGCGAACTTGTCAAGTCCTAGCTTACTTTTTAAGCCACAAGCCAATCAGAACTATGCTGGAGCCAAATTCAGTGAGCCGCCATCACCGAGTGTTCTTCCCAAACCACCTAGCCACTGGGTTCCTGTTTCCTTTAATCCTTCAGATAAAGAAATAATGACCTTTCAACTTAAAACCTTACTTAAAGTACAGGTATAAAACTGCTAAGTGCAAATGTTTAAATTGGCCTGAAACAAATTTGACTAGGGAGTTTGTGTAAAACTGATTAGTATAAGCATATATCTCATTTGTTTTGTGTGCACTGTGATATAATGGTAGTATCAGTGCAACTTAAGGTAACTAAATAATTGTACTTCCTACTAAGTGTCCTCAATTGAGTAACTTTGAGGTAAAACCATTAAAGTTTGGATTCTCATTCGTTTAGATTTAGGGGAGGGCAAAAGAAATAAGTTTTCTATTGTCTGTTGGGGGAAAGTAGTTACCATTATCATTCATGGATCAGTAGTGAGCTGCTTAAGGTCAGTGAATCAAATTAATCACCTAACACAAGGATCAAAAACTAGTTGAACCTTTGAAAGTTTACGTTCTAGAAACAAACTAGTAATGTCAACAACCCAATGCACTGCCAAAAGAAAATGAATTTTCCTTAATAAGTTACAGTTCAGTGCATTATGCAGTGGTGAATGGGAAGGGCACAAGTTTACCCATCAGCCTTCTTTAACTGCAGTTCAATAGGTGTCTGCCAATGAATGCATCCAAACCATTTTTTATAGGAACAGTATTTGATGGTCACTCAATAGCTTTCAAATACATATTTTGTATTATAGCACTGCTCAAGCTATTCTGTCAGTGATCTTAACATCCCTGCAAAGCTTGCTTAAAGTGGGGAACTGTATAATGTGAAACTTGTCTAGGGAAGAAAGAGCCATGTAAATACATGTAATCTTGTAGCATATGTAAAGTTTTCTTGGCTTTTATCTTACAAAGAGTATTTTGGTATGAACTTGCTGAATGTAAGACCATGGATTGTTTTTTATACTATGACCTAATTTTAAAGGTCTGAAATGTTTTTAGTTTGCCCCTGTGCTGAAGTGCCAGTGTATGTAATGACTGATTTGGATGTAAACTATATTTCAGAGGAAACCCTAGTGTATAATGAGTTTTATAATATAACTGAAAAAGCTTTAAGCTGCTAAAACACTTCCTATTTTTGAGAGATGTGAAATGCAGTACAGGAACACCCCCTCCCCCATCTCCAATCAAGCCCAAAGTTGAGCTGTTGTAGAGTTCCTCCAGTCTTAAAAGGTTCCTTTTGGTTTTCACAAATTCTTAGGTTCTATGATTCAAAAACACTTGAAATGTGTAGTACCAGTGGAGTTTTGTGTAATAAGTAATCCAGGGGACAACCTATTATATAAAAGCATTTCTTGCATATAATACCTAGGTACATTTTGAAAGGTAAATTCAAAATAAAACTTAGAAATTAAGCCAGATACACTGTGGATCAAGAGTTAATGCCCTATTTTTTCACCTAACTTCATGTTCATAAGAGTGATCAAGTTTTATTTCCTCAAATATGTCATAAATTAATGTCCAACTCAAATATTCGAATAGCCTAAAGACAAGTTTATATAGTACTTCATGTACATAATATGAATTTGAAGCATGAAATTAAAAAATAAACTTTTTCCTCCCCAGTGGCTTGTTTAATTGTTATGACTGCCGGATATTCTAAAGAATATACATTAATAGGACAGGGTTGCTGGCTTGAAAAGCAGCTATGAATTTGTTGACAGGTGAAGATGACAGGATTGACAAAGTACTTGGCAAACTTCACAAAGCTTTTGAGAGTCAAACCAAATTTAATTACCTTTTCTATCTATATTCTGAGAGCTTTGAGATTTCTCAAATTGTGAAGAGCCTCATGTTTTTCAGTGTGAACATATGTGAAAGTGTTAATCAAAGGGACTTTGGAAGAGAAGCATCACAACCACCAATCACAGGACAGCTTAAACCTCTTCAAGCATACTTTTGTAAATCGGGTGGGGAATATTTTTTCTGCCAGGGGCTACATAGAGTACAGTAGTCAGAATTATCAATTTAAGATTTGCCTGCTAATTTTAAGACGCTGAATTCTGACTCTGAAGTTGCCCTGGCAGGAGGTCCCCATTCCTGCTTTAAGTCTCCTAGTATGTCAGCAAGGCAAAGTTGTATTTTCTCATGGAAACTGGAGGTAAGTGAAAACTACATTTGGATCCTTGGGATTTTTGGTTGTTAAATCCTCTAATTCACTGCAACTTTTACTAAATTGGAACAGTTCTCAGCCTAAGTGTCAGAGTTCTCCATCTATATATTGAAAAATACTAATATAATTGACTTGCTTGGATCAACTTAAGCAAAATTGTACTTAAGTAAAAAGTACTCAGAGGGTGGGAGTGGGAAAGGCTCTTAATTATAAAAAGGATGGTGACCATATAAACATCTTAATTTAGATATTGGTAAAATGGTAAGTTGTTAGTCTACTTAAAGCATAGTGGCTGGATTTTCTGATTTAAGAGCTTAACTAGATACAGAGAGCCTTCTAGGTAGGCCTGATTTAAGTCAGCAATATACTATATGCCTTCTGTAAACTACTTCAACTTGTCAAGCCTTTTTCTATGGCAGCATGTAGTATTGATGGAATTCAGCTCCATCAGGTAACCTTAAAATAAACCCAAGTCCTTATTGGCAAAACAAACCAAAGGGTTTTTTGATTAAGTTATATAAACTGAACGGCATTCTCCTAAGCAATTACTTTGTAAAGCAGGAGGGAGACAATCCATCTTTTAAAACCTCTTGAGGAAAAAGTCTACCCGAGGAAATCACAAATATCTATGGTAGAACAAAAACTTAAAAAAAAAAAAAAACAAGATTTTTTTTTTTTGGCTCCTAGATCAGTTTATTATTTCACTCTCTAGAGCAAAGAAATATGATCTGAAAACTGGACACAAAGGCCTTTTCACTTCTTTACAAACTACTGTCAATTATGTTAGGAAATTTACACACCTCACCTTTTTATTAAAAAAAAAAAAAAACCACCCATCTTAAGCACAAGGGTTAGACAGCTGTTACAAATACAGAGAAACATAATAAAGGTAACCAACACTGTTAGAGGAAGTAGTAAAGGGGGGAAAAACCCAAGAGAATGAACCTATCCCAAAATGACTAACAGCATCCTGTAGATGTCCATGGTTGAAAACAAGCAGATTGCTTACTTCACAGCTCTCCTAGGAGTCCTAGAAGCAGTGGTGGTCCTGATAGAAAGCCATTAGACTACTGCTCAAGATACAGCTTCCCAATTAAAAATGTAATATTGGCACTTTGTAAACAGGAACATGGTCAAAATGCAACACAATGAAAACCTTGCAGAATTTGCGAAGTGGGGCTGGAATGAGTCTCTGACCCACGACAATCTGCCTCATCCAGAAAAATTACTGAAGGTGAGGAATGAAGCTATGCAAAAAAAGCCTATCCACATGATAGGCATTCCATAAATGCTAATTTCCATCTATAAAATGGGGAGAGTACCCATTTCCCAGGAGTGTGTTGGGGATTAAATAGGAGTATCTGAAAAGCATATGGCTTGATGTTAAGTGCTCAATAATAATGACAGCATTCCATAAATCGTAACCACCACAGGAGATACCCTAAAGCAAATTCAACAGCTGCCAAAACCATATGGGCCTTTTCTGATTTACCATGTTTAATTTTTTACACAGTTATCAAGTGTTATTACTGTATGACACGTTTTCCAGCAAAAGATTAACGAAAACACTCATAATTTGTACTCACCAATATTTTTTTGAACAAATTCTCAACTGAATATGCAACTTAATTCTCCTTCCCCTTGAAAGTTTTAACCTCAATTCAAAAGGAAATGGAGACGGAAGAGGGCAAAATATCTATGAACCATATAGGTATTAACTTTAGAAAATACACAGAATCTCTACCCATAATAACTATCACTACAATGCTATTATGTAAAGGCATAAAACAAGATACATTTCCTAATTAGATCTAGCCATTTTTGCTGTAAATTCTAGATTCCATTATACCAACTTTATTTTTTCCACAAAAATTAAGTTATAAAACATTTTCCCATTTGACTCAAAAAACAAAAACAAGGAACAGAGATGAACCAAGAGAAAAATGGATTCTAAACCTCAGCTCTACTTACTCTGTGATCCTGGGCAAGTTTAACAACTTTTTATAATTTTAATAAAATAGGGATTAAAAATACCTCCATTTTACACCTCCCTTTTATACCTCCCTTAAAGTTAATGTGTATTCTCCTGTATTTTCAAAATTCTTTTAAGTTAAATTCCATTTCCAAATTTTAAGATTAATAACTTCACATGCAAGTTTTAAATACATGGCAAAATATGACAAAACTCAAATGTGATGGAACCAATGTATAGCTAAACAAAAAGTTCATATCCTAATAAGGAACTAAGGAATCAAAAGCATTTTGTGATACTATAAAAGTTATTTATTCACTATACACAGAACATGTCCCCTATAAAATGTACATGTAAATCACTAAAAAGTATAATTTGGTGAACATTTTCTCATTACAGAACATACTAAATCAGTTGGGATAACAGCTCTCTGTCTGCCTCAAAATAATCTAATTATAGCACCCAGAATCTCCTTTATATCTAATGCAAAGTTAAATACTTATTTGTGGGATTATTTCCTAATGTATTTGACGAGGCAGAGTTAACAATTTAATATAACTCTAGTATATTACAGTAACGGCACAATAAATCAGTTTATTACAGATTGAAACATTTTTTCATTATTAATGGGGTGCAAACAAATACTGGATACTTTTTAAAAGGCAGATAAACCACAAAATTACTTATCTTTGATAGTATATCGGGTTTTATAATTACATTAAGATGTGAATGGTGTAATATAGTTACAAATAATACACCTCAAACAAAACAGTGAGGCCATATGTAATGATACACAAGATTGTGCTCAGTAGACATTTATTGAATATGGGAATTATCTATTTTTCTATCCAATTACTTAGTACAATATTTTGCCCACTGTTAAGGGCTCAATAAATATTCACTGAACATACTGATTAGGAAAGAGGTGAGAAGAGATGGGCCCCCTCAGCTGGATGTCAAGTATAATTGGAATCTACGTGGGAAAAAGTGGTTAAAGAAGTCAACTGTATGTGGTATTTAAGCAAATATACTCAGATGCCAACGAAGCAAATGATTAAGCAGAAAATACTGGCACCAGAATAAACAAAGGCAAAGTTTGCCAATAATGGCTAAAGAGGAATTTTAAGGAGAATCCAGAAAAAATTTATATTGGACCATACCTTTTCCCACCCAATTCAGTTTGAGACAGACCAATAGAGGCACTGTAAGAGACTATGGCTGTCTTCCTTGATATTCAGACATCCTAGTTTCAAATAATTTATTATGGACCTGTTACCCATGAATCAATATAAACCTATTCATATTTAGGGATTAGTTTCCACAAGTACAAAGTTGAACTTCCTTTTATTTGTCCTAAAATGCTTACTTTCAAACTTGAAGGGACTTCAATTATTCCATGTAGTTTTCGATAATTCTTTTATCTTTTCAGACCAGAGTCAAAATATTCGTACAGTATTCATACTGCAGCACCTTCCACCCACCCTTTGGTCGCTTGAACTGCCCTTCTTTGGTTCTTTTTCCGCTTTCAGATCTTTCTTGAAGTGTAGTAAGCAGAACTGTACTGGGTATTCCAGCTGCAGTTTGGTCTTAAATAAAAGAAGGATGTTTGTCAGTTTGGTTTTCTTTTATTCTTCTCTGTGGTATACAGGATTTTGTTAGTTGAACTGGATGTAGCAGCTTACTGGGCCAAATTTTCAAGAGAATAGTACAACAGCCCCCAGGTCTTTTCCCTGGGTTGTAACTTAACAGCTCATACTCTACATGTAGCACCTTTCCTTTCTCACTGAAGCATTATCTCTCATTTTTTCTTCTTGCTTACTTGGCTTAAAAACAAAAACAAAAACACACGCAGAGAAATCTTAGGCAAAAAGAGAGGTGAAGTTGTCAGCCCTCACTTGAATGGTGATATGACTACTCTAATATTGAGCCCAGTGCCAGACACCCAGTAGGTACTCAAATCTTGGACTCAACTATGCAACCCCAAATTAGCTTAAAACACCATAAAGATCCTTATCAAGTATGAGTAGACTATGAAATATTATGGCTCAACTACAATAGTCCTTTTGAAGCTGTTAGGTACATCACTTTAGGAACAACATCAAGGTTCTAAAGAAAATACACCGAATTTAAAAATAATCCAATGCAAAAAGCAGAAGCATCAGGCCTTCTACTTCTATACAGAGACCAAGAACAATTTCAATGGGCTATGTCCTCAATCTACTCTGAATAATTCACTGAAAGAAAAAAATACATAATAACCAGGCCTGGGCTTAAATCCTCCTGGCTCTGCCTTTTACTTTTTTCTTCGTGTTTCAGTTTCCTTATTTATCATACAGGGAAAATTAAAGTATCTTTCTCATAGGGTTTTGTGAAGAGAAAATTAGTCAAATAAAGCCTCTCAAAGAGTGTCTGGCACATCATAAATACTTGAAAAATTTTTAAGTTGTAACTGTCATTACAAAGTAGCTAGAATTCAAACGATAAAACACCTATGCTCCTTCCCCTAAGTTACTTAATACTAACTGCTCACCAACATCAATGAAAAGAAATTTAAATCATGCCATAAACATTCAGGTTTAATGCAGCTAGTTTAGGAAGGGGCAGAGAATTATTGATTCATCTAATAACAAAGTATAAACTTGTAACTAGCTGACTCAATTTCATCTGAATGTGTTATCTAACACTACCAAATAACTTGTAAGTTACTTAACCCAAGAGGGTTAATGAAAAATCATGAAACAACTTGACATTACATATGGAATTTTTAAGTATTATGTAAAAGAAGTAGCTTTCTGGCAAGTTCTATCATCTCCAAGGTAAGTTAGCTGTGCCCAGTGCAACATTGATTAAAAAATATTCCTACAGCTACAAAAGGCTATTTCCACTATTATTATTTTAGAATCATATTTAGTACTATAATAATTCCAGTTAATCATTATTTCCTTCATTTTGTTTTTATTATAGCATGTTTGCTTAATTTACAGCAAGCAGAAAATAAGCTGGGTCTTATTTTGATCCAAACATTGATGTTTTAAAGGTTGTACACAATATTTGTTAAAAAGAACATATAAAAATACCTTTTTAGAAGCTTCTATAAGAAAGAAAATACAAAGTTTAACCCCACAACTTTCCTCTTTTCTAGAACTGCAAACTACTGCTACAGTTTTAAATAGACTTTTTGTTGTTTAAACTATACATCCAGGAAAATCTAAAAAAATTAAAGAAACGTGCATATAAATGATTGCATAGCAGAACATGAACATTAACTGCAAACAGTAAAGAAATGAAAGTTAGAAATACTATCAAATGTACAAAGGTTCTAGAATCAATCCTTCACATTCCACAAACAGTATCTAAAAACCATCCCATTGTTCTTCACAGGCAAAGCCTAGATTTCTAAAACCAAAATTGGAAAAAATATTCCTCTAAAAGGAATCGTTTTCCCACAATATTACTTAGATCTGCAAGCAAGCAATCTGAGATTTTAAAAAGATGCTAGCTTTTTACTCTGAAATGAGATTGGACGTGTCAAGTCACTTTATTGCCTCAAAACGATCTTTCAGAGAAATACTAGAAATTATAAATGGTTAAGGGCATTACTTGCTCATTTTTAGTCAGCTACATTGATAATTAAAAACTGAGAGATGACTCTTGCTTAAAACTAATCCTTTTCCCAAATTATTTTAAATTTCATGGCACCACAGAATCACCTAGAATGGGGAGTGTTGTCTTTCAACTTGCCTCACATTAAATAAAACTGAGGTGTGAAGAGTAAGCCTCCCTCATAAAGAGGCAGGCATGTTTTGATACAAATGCACATGCCAAGTGCTATAAGCATCAAAATTCAGTTTTACACTATGCACACGCACACAAACAAAACTTACTTTGAAACAACTTACTTGCTTCTAACAGCAGTAAGAAAGCTAATCAACAATGCTTCATAAACTTCAGAGTTAACTACATAATATTCTTTTCCCCTTCAAATTATTTCTGCCATTATTGACCTGCTCAAATTCTAAGGTGGGTTCTTCTGATGTATGTATGTTCTACATCTTTATAAAGACCAGAAAAAAAGCAGTGAAGGCTCCATGTTTCAGCCAAAAACTCATTGCCCTGAAAATGCTACTTAACCCAGCTGGGGGCATTCCCCCAAATAGTGGGGTTAGCAAAAGAACTAGTCCAAACTGTGTCATAAATAAACTATTAACAAGGGCCTACACATCTCGACAAAACATAAAGGTCCACCCTGAACCTACTGTGTGAGCAGTCAGTGTTGTACTGTGGCTACTTAGCTTTTGTATCATTCTATCTTATTAGCAAGCTACAGCTCTAGGTTAACACTTCTACCAAATATGGATATGAAAGTTCATTTTTAATGAGACAATGTTGCAAATTAAGGTCAACCAACATCTTTTCACCAAATACTTCAAGCATAAAAAATGAGAATCTTTACAAAAATATACAGAGACACCACAAATTGGTAGCTGCCCATAACATTAAACAAACTGGACTCTTAAGAGTGGCTTCTCAACAGCATATCATTTTAATTATAACCATTGCCTGCTACAGGGAAAACTAACAAGTGTTTTTTAAGCATCATTGCAACATTGTATTCCTGATAATTTAAGTAAACCAAACTATGAGTAAATGAATGATACATGCCTAAAAATTATCATGGTTTATGCTATCAGTGGCCACTGGACTTAGGACTAGTCCAAGACCTTGATCTAGATTTTGACCTAGACCTAGACTGTGATCTTGACTGAGATTTGGATCTAGGTGGTTCTTTTTTCCTTGATTCCTTTTCATCTCTTGAGCCAGACTTATAATGTGTTTTGGAATCTGTTTTAGAGGTGCCTCTAGTTTTGGTGTGAGATGCAGACCTAGAACGTGATTTAGCCTTCATTTCTTTCTTGGGCTGGGACTTGGACCGTGATCTTGAATTGGATTTAGATCTTGAAAAAGATCGATTTCGGTGTTTGAATCTTTCAAAACAGAGGAGAGATACAATTAGAGTAAAAATTAGATTCTATATTAATCAAATTTGTTATTTTTAGAGCAAAAGTTCACTCTGAAATTGAAAAATGTATGAGTCTTTTTCAAAGCAAAGTTATTTACCTATCATTGTCGGAATGGCTTCTGCTACGGCGAGGTCTTCCAGTCGGTCTACTGCTAAAAAGCATATCAGAAAAAGCAAACAGTGACAAATGTCTATATATAGTCTTAAATTTCTAATTAAAACTGAACCATAAAACTTTTTAAATGATACATTAAAATATTTTTAGTCTGAATGAAGCATTCAAAGTATACAATTAAAGTAAAAACATTAAAATGCTAGCAAACATTTTTAACAGATCATTGTACATCACACTTACTTTCTAGGACTATAAGATCTTCTATAGTTGTAATCAAAAGACCGACTTCTTGATCTCCTTCTTTCATAACTTCGGCTTCTAGAACGCCTGTATCTGTCATAATCATCATAACGTGAAGAACTGTACACATTCCTCCCTTCCTTGGCTTTCATCTGATTTGGTGCTATGAAAGACAAAAAACAAGTATATGGAAATACTAAAAATTTAAGCCCTCAAATTACAGGAGAAAAATTTTTGTATCCCCTCCTCTGCATACCAAAGGAATCATATGTATTTTGGCAGCTGTTAGAGGTGCTTCTTATTTTCGTGTTGAGATGCTGAAAACGATTTAGCCTCAATTCTTTTTTGGGATGGGTTAAGGTTTACTATAAATATTCATCTTGGAACAGGTACTTTTAAGGAAGTCTATTAGCCTCTGGTGGCAAATCAAAGCCAGGAGCCAAGAGATTCTTCCATGTCTCCTGTGTGGGACAGAGCATTTAGGCCATCCTCCGCTGTTTTCCCAGCCACATTTGCAGCAGGGAGCAGAAGTGGAGCAGCTGGACTGGAACTGGCACCAGTGTGAGATGCCAGCATCACAGACGGTGGGTTTACCTGATACAGCACAACGCTGGCCCCAAGAAGTTAAGAGTTCAAAATTGAGATATTTTGAACCATATGCTGATTTGGAATTATCCTGCTATAGTGTCCATTTATTAGAAATATAATTGAGAATAATATTTACCAATGGCCTATGAACAAATGTGTAGGGTCAAAATGTATAGTTTTGACAAACCATAACAAAATAAAGTGGAAGAAGGTAACACCCATTGAATATCATATACACACCCACACCCTTGGCCAGTCTTCCTTATATTATCTCATTCAGTTCTATAAAGCAGAAACTTCGTGTACGTACATCTAAGTAACATAGTAAATACCCAGGAACTCATAACCCAACTCAACAACTAGAGGATTACCAATAACTTTCTTTTTATTTTTAAAAATTTATTTGAGAGGTAGAACTACACAGAGAGGGAAGGAGGGACAGAAAAAGGTCTTCCATCCAATGTCACTCCTCAAATGGCCAGAGCTGGGCTGATCTGAAGCCAGGAGCCAGGAAGCTTCTCTGAGTCTCCAATGCACGCGCAGGGACCCAAGCACTTGGGCCATCCTCCACTGCCTTCCCAGGCCACAGCAGAGAGCTGGACTGGAAGAGGAGCAGCTGGCATATAAATTGGCACCCATATGGGATGTGGTGCCGCAGGTAGAGGCTTAACCTACTATGCCACAGTGACGCCCCCCCACTACTTTCTAGAGCAGCCAACTTTAATTCCTATTTTTTTTTTTTTTTTTTTTTTTTTTTTTTGACAGGCAGAGTGGACAGTGAGAGAGAGAGAGACAGAGAGAAAGGTCTTCCTTTTGCCATTGGTTCACCTTCCAATGGCCGCTGCGGCCGGTGTGCTGTGGCCAGTGCACCGCGCTGATCCGATGGCAGGAGCCAGGTGCTTCTCCTGGTCTCCCATGAGGTGCGGGGCCCAAGCACTTGGGCCATCCTACCACTGCACTCCCGGGCCACAGCAGAGAGCTGGCCTGGAAGAGGGGCAACCGGGACAGAATCCGGCACCCCAACCGGGACTAGAACCCGATGTGCCAGCACCGTAGGCAGAGGATTAGCTTAGTGAACCGCGGTGCCGACCTAATCCCTATTTCTAATATCTTGCCTGAGGTAACACAATAACTAAGCTAGAATTCAAACCCAGTACTCCTGACTCAACAGTATACAGCTAACATCTGACATGTGCTTACATAATGATAAAAGCCAGGTGCTGTGGCACAGTGGGTTAATGCCCTAGTCTGAAGCGCTGGCATCTCACATGGGTGCCAGTTCAAGACCTGGTTGCTCCACTTCCAATCCAGCTCTCTGCTATGGCCTGGGAAAGCAGCAGATGGCCCAAGTCCTTGGGCCCTTGCACCCGCGTGGGAGACCCGGAAGAAGCTCCTGGCTTCGGATGGGCGCAGCTCTAGCCATTGCGGCCAATTGAGGAGTGAACCAACGGATGGAAGACCTCTCTCTCTCTGCCTCTCCTCTCTGTGTAACTGACTTTCAAATAAATAAATTAAAAAAACAAAAAACAAAACATGTGCTATGACAAAGTCTAGGTTTAATCCATTATGTTTCCCAGTCCATTTCCATAGCTATACACACCCACATTAACTATTCAATTATACTGTGAAAATCTTTATGAAGAAGGGAGATGACAAGAGATGCAGAACTTTCTATGTTGTATTCTCTATCTCCAGTTTTTTGTTTTTTGTTTTTTTTTTGACAGGCAGAGTTAGAGAGAGAGAAAGGTCTTCCTTCCGTTGGTTCACCCCCAAAATGGCTGCAGCGGATGGCGCGCTGCACCGATCCAAAGCCAGGAGCCAGGTGTTTCCTCCTGGTCTCCCATGTGGATGCAGGGCCCAAGGACTTGGGCCATCCTCCACTGCACTCCCGGGCCGCAGCAGAGAGCTGGACCCATCTCCAGTTATTATTAACTGGGGCCAGTGTTGTGGTGCAGAACCTTAAGCCACCTCCTATGATGCTGGCATCCTATATGAACAATTAGGTCAAAGTTCTGGCTGCCCCACTTCCATTCTAGCTCCCTGCTAATGCCTGAGAACGCAGCATAAAGCTCACCTTAGCACCTGGGCCTCACTTAGGAGACCTGGATGGAGTTCCAGGCTCCTGATTTCAACCTGCCCTAGGCCAGGCCATCTGGGGAGGGAACCAGTGGACGAAGATCTGTCTCTCTCTGCCTTTCAATAGTTAATCATTTTTCAAAAAAGCCAGTTCAGAGTACTGACTGAATGCTAATATATCACAGGCACTCTGATCTCCACATTGTATCTACACTTACCTTGGAACTTTATAATCCATATGAGAAGTGAACACCTATTCAAGATACCATATCTTCTCAAAAATTATTTTTGGAGTTTTGAACAAACTGCATCAATACTTACAAGAAATCTCAAAATGACGTCTAAAAGTAACAATATTACACCTGTTAGGTGTGAGGGTACTTACTCTTCCGATCTCCCTGTGCAAACTGTATTTCAATCTGACGTCCACAAATCCATTTTCTGTCCAGATTATGTAAAGCATCTTCAGCATCACGAACATCCTCAAATGTGCTAAATGTTAAGGGGCTTGGGAAGTTTTGCAGCTTTATAATGGAAGTTCAGTTGGTAAGCCTGAAACAACTCACAATCTCCCAATATTGTTCTAGAAATTCAACCAACCAGACCCCACTTAATAGTTGGTTGATTCAGCCATTATATTTCACAGTAGAAAAGCAGTTGTTATTTTCTAAGGAATACATTTTTGAAAACACATGTGAATACACACTGTGAAATTATTATCAACATAAGATCCGTTACAACTGAATCACCAAGATAACCTATAAAACTGTTTTTTCCTGAGTATTAAGAATTAACTTTTTACAAAACAAGATAAAAATTAAAAATGCCAGTCAATTCTATGTTGGAGGCTAAAAAAAGGATTTCTTAAAATAAAACCAAAATACTATTGTCCATATATTTGCTTCAAATAAAAAAAATGCCAATAGTTCTTGTGTAAGCAAGCAGAATATACCTTACCTTCCAAGAGATGAAAACACTGACTTCAAACTTATTTTGCTGTTTTTTTCTGAGGTGTCTACAATTTCATATAGCTGTCTTCCTTGCACTGCATATGGAAGACTGGGACACTAGCCATTGTGGGTATCAAGACAGAGTCAAGCAACATGACAATCACTACATCAAAAGCACATCAGATCCATGCACAGACTGGGAGGCATGCCATCAAGAGAAAGACCACTGTAAGGATTCCTAGCTTGGAAAGTCCTAACCATGCTCTTACATACATATGGTCACTTCAAAAAGTTTATGGAAAATGAAATTAAGTTAGCTTTGGTGCAAAACAACCGAAATCTAGGCATTTCCACCCATAATATGCATTCTCCATGAACTTTCTGAAGACCCCATGTACAGCTTCCTGCAGTTTGGTCTGGGACTGGTTTTTCCAATGTTAAGGATTTCAAAATAATATTTACCAGCTTTAAGCAGTAACTGGATACTCACTTTAGTTTGAGAAGCTAAGTGGTCTTGTGTCCCCATTGAAGTCAGTAATAACACAGTGAAAACTCTTGGCCTGACATACTCATTCCACCCAAACCCTTTCGCTAAAACCACCATTTTAACCCAAGCCAAGCACACGTTGAAGGCAAAGTTTGATAATAAAAGGTTCGGAAGGGAGCGTGGGTAAATTCGGGTATGGGTTTTCATTCTATCCTATATATAAATCACTGTTCTAGCTTGCCTGTGTTTATTTGAGAACACCAGAATGTAGATTTAGACGATTAAAAACCATTTCCTGGGCCGGCACCGCGGCTCAGTAGGCTAATCCTCCGCCTAGTGGCGCCGGCACACCAGGTTTTAGTCCCAGTTGGGGCGCCGGATTCTGTCCTGGTTGCCCCTCTTCCAGGCCAGCTCTCTGCTGTGGCCAGGGAGTGCAGTGGAGGATGGCCCAGGTGCTTGGGCCCTGCACCCCATGGGAGACCAGGAAAAGCACCTGGCTCCTGCCATCGGATCAGCGCGGTGCGCTGGCTGCAGCGTGCCGGCTGTGACGGCCATTGGAGGGTGAACCAACGGCAAAAGAAAGACCTTTCTCTCTGTCTCTCCCTCTCTCTCACTGTCCACTCTGCCTGTCAAAAAAACAAAAAACAAAAAAACAAAAACATTTCCTGAAGTGACAGACTCCCTTTGAAGACGGAAGCTAGCATTCCTTTATTCCATAGACTAAGTGGTCTGGACCACTCAACTTACCACTTTCTGTTCTGAAAGGAGTTAAGGACTGCAGATTTCTAGTTCTCTGCCCGAGGTTAAATGGAAGCAGGGGTTTTCTCAAGTCTTAAATAATTGGGCTTTCAAGTGAAAAGGCAAAGGCTGATGGGAAGATCAGAACCTTGAATACTGTAACTGAGCCTTCCTCCAAGGTTAATGCAGTTGGGTTATAAACTAATTAAAAGGTTAAGTTCCCTTAATGGGCATTGTACTACTTTATCTATTACCCCAAGAGACAGGATATAGTAATTTTAAGGAGTTACACCAAGAGCTGCACAGATTATTAACCAGAGCAGAGCATCCTCTGGGGGTACCCTCAAAACAGAAACCTGGGCTGGATGGCAAGGTTCTGCTTTACCTGTTAAGCTAGGGACAGGAAGAGAACGCTAAGTGGAACAATCAGGTAGAAGAGACAGCAGCAGGAAGGGCAGACAAATATCACTCTGATGCCACTCACAGGGAAATTTATACTTCATGGTCTTTCTAAAAATGAAACTGATAAGCCTGTTACTTCTTTTTAGTTATTTCAAGACCCCTGAAGACTTAGTGGGTATATATTTAAAAGCGATCACTCTTCTTTGGATTCCCTTTGTATGACTTCTCTACTTACAGATCACATAGTCACTGCTGCCAACCCTGGCTCCCAGGCCACCCCAAAACAGGTAAAATCAGGTCAGCATTGTAAGCCCAATGCACTACTACTTTTATTTACAAAGCCAGATATAGCCACTGTCCTCCGTAACAGAGCTTTGCAACCAATTCCCACTACTGTCCTTGATCACTGGCCCTGTAGGAGTAGCTTTTGGCCTTTTCCTTAAGTCTCCCTAGGACTCCAGTAACAAACACTTCAAGAGTCACTGAATTTAAGCATAGAATTTTTCTTAGCCTGAGGCTCACAGCCTGTATCTTTTGCTATAGGGAGCCGTTCTCACAGAAGAGAAGGTGACCTGAAACTCTCGAGCCAGGGATCAACTTCCCATAGATTCTGACTAGGCACCCCCGCCAGGATGAAGGCTTTCAGCAACCCATTCAGGGCTAACTGATCACATGTGCTGAAGCAGTGCATGGCCTACAGGCTTCACAGAGCTAATTCCAGAAGTTAGGCATTTGTGTGTGCTCACAGCAGCCACTTTAAATCTATCCATAGACAGTATGAGTATTTCTAATGGATCTGACTGCACAAGGCCACCAGAACTGTTTCCAGGTAGCTCCCAGTACATGCATCGGTCTCCCCTTTGAGCAGGGCTCTGTGGCTTGACCCTAGAACCACATGCTACTCCCACAATCCCTGCCTGCTACTCTGTGGTTACTGGCTGCCTGGTCCAAAATAGAAACGTGCTGAATTTAAGCTTAGCAACAGTACATTCTCTTACTCTTTAACTTGAGAAGTTAAGAGAGTGCATTTATACAAGACCACAATCACAACATCAAAGGCCCACACAAATCAAGTTACAGGTTTTGTCACTAGACCAAACCAGAATTTTGTAAATTAACTGCTTACAAAACATTAAAAAAAAAAAAAAAAAAAGGAAAATAGTTATTCTGTAGGATACATCAGGTATGACTCCTTTAATCTTGGCCATCATTGAACTTCATCTTGACCTTTAACTCTTTAAGTGCTTGTCAGAAGGACTTGTCATGAGATGCTTGGCCAAATATGACAGATGGCTTTATCTTTAACTTTGAAAAACAACCTTTTCCCCCTTTTGTAGATAAAGCGAGGCTTTGTCTCCCATTAGGCTTGTCCTTCTTCCAGCTTTTCTTTATTTTTTCTTTTCCCAAACTCATCCCTTCTCTTCAAGCCTGATCCTTAAGAGGTCTTTGGCTTGTCTACTTGCCTTAAGTGTTGAACTCTACTCTAAAGGTTCTTTCATGCTTTCTCTTTGGGGTCGCCATAACTGTACAGCTTTACATTGTCTGAGGTAACAACAGAGGACAGCAAATTAGGGGACAATATTAAAGAAGTTTACCTCGTTATACAATTTGTTTTTGATCAAGTGATTCAAATTAACAAACAAGAATAGCAACTTTAATTGCTAAGCACAAGAACATATTAACTTTTAATTTGACTTAAAGGTGGTAGCAACCAGAGTGTATTCAAATTTAAATCACATATAATCACTGATTTGAGTTTCAGCAGCATGAATGGGAATTTTTATAGTTTACTATTTTGGATTAACTTTAAGAAATAGTAAGAGCAACGTGAGTTGAAGTTAATTTTCAAAAATTTGACGACATTAAGACATTTATTAGAGGACAAAAATAAACTACTTTTTAGATGTTACCACTTACATAAACTTGAATTTCAAACGTCAACACCCCTCACTAATCAGCCTTCTGAAGAAAGGATATTGAACATAAGCAAATCCTCTTGGACGGCGAGTGTAGAAATCAAGCGGAACATACACATCAACTATAGGACCATAGCGACCAAACTCGCGCCGTAAATCTTCAGACCTAAAACATCATAAAAAGACCTCAATTTTTTTGTTCACGTCCTTAAGAGTTTCTTGGTAAGCAGCAGTTATGCGGCTGTAATAATTCTCAATCAATGGAAGGGATTGTGGATAATAAGAGTGTGATCGGGTAGGTCTTTCTCAGCTTTCCAAATCTCAACATTAAGAGCCAACTTTAACCCGCTATATCCCAGTGTGCTATATACAGAACACCTGTACAGCCTTAAATCGAGCAACAAATATACCACTTATGGTAACTTTAAACATGATGTCAAAATGGCCTGCAGAATTGAAAACGTGGGACTTAATAGGTCAAGAACATACAAAAATGTTCAGGCTATATAGCTTTTCAATGAAGAACAGCAATGGAAAATGAAGATGCAGTTTGTAACTAAATCACTATTTCGCACTAATCAAGAAAAAATATGAAGGTACTAAAAAAAGCTTGTGGAAAACGGTATTAAAACATGCTTATATTGATGCAAAAAATGTCGAAATCCATGCACCGTTTTCATAACACGCATTTCCACTAACTTTTCAGACTCCCCCCATACATGGATTTTGACTTTTTTTCACTAAACTTAGCTTTCGTTTTCATAAAAGGTACAGCAGCACATAATTGTATGTAAGCACCGCTGTTTTTCTTTTACAGTATCGATTCTATTACTCTGAAAAATACCAAGCTTATTTTTACCCTAAAAATTTCAGCGACAGGGTTTGCCAGGGTAGGCATTCCTCTGAAAAATTAGTCACAAATATATTATATAAAAACTCCCTTCAATAGCACAAAGGGGGAAATTTCCCCTAGACGTTAAAATAATTACTATTGCTTTCTTTCCTACTTTAGGATGGAAAGCAATAAATCAAAGTTGACGCAAAAAGCTCTCAACAACTTATTTTTTTGTCTGTAGACCGATCATCTGCGACAGACGAAGCCTCAGCTTGTGATAAGATCGCTTCCCCAAATCCTTAAAGGCAGCTCGAAGCAATTAAGGGACCTGGTTAAGAACAAAGCCTATTTAAGGCACGGTCCGGCTTAATCTAATTTAGCTACCAACCGCCTAATGGCAGAAGCTTCCTAAGTCCTCTTTCTGAAAGCGTGCCCAGATTTCCGGGGGACGGGAAGAACTTCGCCATTTAACTGGAAAAATGTCATCTCCCAAATTCAACATTCTTTTTACCCAAATATCGCCTCCGGACCAAGACCCACACACGTAACCCCAAAAGGATCAGCAAATGCTCCGCCACGTTCTTCCCTCTCAGTCCCGTTATCGCACTCGAATTTTTGCTTTAAACTAAAAAAAAAAAAAAAAAAAAAAAAAAAAAAAAAAAGGTGCCGGGGCCGAGGGGGCGCGCGCCACCAAAGAACGTGAACTTCCAGCCCCAGGGAGCGGACGCGCGGCGGCGGCTGGCGGGCCGCGCCAAGCCAGCGCCGAGGGTGGCAGGGGCGCCGCGCTGCCATGGAGAACGGGCCCGCGCTCCGCGCCGCCGGCAGGGGCGCCGCCCTCGCTCCCACGCGGCGGCGGGGGCCGGCGGCGCGGCCTAGTTCGGCGCCAAAGCGGGCCCCGAGCCCGCCATCTTCGCCCCTTCCCCTCCCCCGGCCAGCGCCGCGCCGCCGCTCGCTCCTCGCCGCGCAGGCCCGGGGTCCCGGTGCAGGACCTACCTGGTGTCGTCCGCCACGTTCCTGACGAACAGAGACGTGTTCGGGGGGCGCAGGTAGCGGGACATGGCGGCGGCGTGAGTCTCGGCCGAGGGCACTAACGGGCTCAACAAACCGTCCGCGGCCGAACCTCAGACAGACACACGCACACAGAGCCAGAGCGCTCCGCTACGGCAACGGCCTCTTCTCGCGAGACTTCCCTCCCGCCTCCTCCCCCTGCCACTCCTCCCAGCTCGGCGCTGCGCCGGGACCGGCAACGGTTCTTTCCCGCGAGATCGCCGGGCGTGCGCGCGCGCCTGCGCAGACGGAGGCCGAGCACGCGCCGCGGCTGGGGGGCGGTCATTGGCTGCTTGCGCCGCCCCTTCCCTTCCCCCTCTCGCCCGCTTTTTCTTTCTTTAGCGCTACGTTTTCCCGCCCTTTTCTGCCCTGCAGCTCCCCGCCGCCCCACAGAAAGCAGGAGGCGGACATTTTGGCCCCTACGCCAGACTTTTATAGAGTAATTAGCAAGCGGACGGAGTTCTTAGCATTATGATTCGGAAAGCCTGACCCAAAAATGTCCTGTGTGGGCCGTCTTACGCCCTGGCTTTTATTAGATCTCTGACAGCCTGAGAAGAACGTGGGTGCAGAAAGGAAGGCGGTGTTGGGCCCCGCAGCTTCGCCGGGCTGAAGGCCGTTCCCGTCGTGCACATACCCTCCCCCTCATCAACCCCTCCCTGGGCTCTGCTCCAGTTCTCCAGCTTTTCGGTCTCGGGACCCCTTCGCACTCAGAGACACTGGAAGGCCTCGCTCCCCCGGTTTTGTTTTTAAATTTCCTTTTAGTATGTGGGTGATAGCTACCAATATTTGCTGTTAGAACTTAAAATGGAGACAGCTGTGGCACAGTAGCACACCCCCCCCCTCTGCTCCGTCACATTATATCCTGTAGCCTCTGGAAAGCGACACTTTTTTTTTTATTAATATTGAAACTTTGGGGGGTAGTGTTTTTCTTTAAAGATTTATGTATTTGAAAAGTAGAACGGGGCTGGGGGTGGGGGGAGAGGTTTCCCGTGTGCTGGTTCACCCCCCAACAGCCAGGGCTAGGCCAGGAGCCAGGGACTCCGCCTGGGTCCCCCCACTTGGGGTGGTGGCTGCGGACTCCCAGGCGAGTGAGCAGGAAGCTGGGCTGGCCTTGGAGTAGCTGCGACTTGAACGTCAGCCTGGCGAGGACCGTCATGCCTGTCCGCAGTGGCACTCTTCTCTTTTGTGAGCGCATGGACATGGAAAAGACGAGCGTGTGGACCCGGGGGACCTGCTCTGTGTGATTCCATTTCAGGAGATGAGGGACTTCCTGTTAGACTGTGTGGCCTGGAGGAGGGCTTAGTTAAAGTGAACTGTTATTGCGTCAGTCGGTGTCCAAAGCAACTGAGTGAGTGGCATGGCTGGGGATGGTGTCTAGTGCTCTGTGGCCGAGCTGTTGTCTCCACACTGGTGTTGCCCAAGAAGCCTTGCACACTGGATTCATTCAGTGTTTGTTTTTTTATTTTGACAGGCAGAGTGGACAGTGAGAGAGAGACAGAGAGAAAGGTCTTCCTTTGCTGTTGGTTCACCCTCCAATGGCCGCCGTGGCTGGCGCGCTGCGGCCAGCGCACCGCGCTGATCCGATGGCAGGAGCCAGGTGCTTCTCCTGGTCTCCCATGGGGTGCAGGGCCCAAGCACTTAGGCCATCCTCCACTGCACTCCCTGGCCACAGCAGAGAGCTGGCCTGGAAGAGGGGCTACCAGGACAGAAACCGGCGCCCCAGCCGGGACTAGAACCCGGTGTGCCGGCGCCGCAAGGCGGAGGATTAGCCTAGTGAGCCGCGGCCCCAGCTCATTCAGTGTTTATTGATTGCCTATCGGTGCCAGGCCTCGTGCTGGATATTCAATGAGGAGCAGCATGGGGCTTATATTTGGAGAGGGGCTGACAATAGAAACAAGTAACTAAGTGCAGCCTTGGTATCTGGAAGAAGTGGTAGTGTAATAGAGGCGATTTTTGTTTGTAGTTTCAAAAACAGTGTTGTCTAGAAAGGCCTTGCTGAACAAGTGTGTTCCCTGCCCCCTCAGTTAAGTACTTTTTAGGGGCTTGAAAACAGACTCTTGCAAATTATCTTAATCAATGCCGAAAATGTAGAGAACTGTGGCTACTCAGTTTACTAGGTGAGTTTACTCCAGAGCCTGATGGATTATCAGTGCCCTATACATGTGGATGGAACTGCTGTGTCATTTGTGGGCCCTGTAGCACCCTGAAAATCCGTGTTCAAAATGTATTATGAATTTCAGCGGGGGGCTAGTAGCACTGTGGCTCTGAATTGCGCCACACTTTGCAAGCATCTGTGGTCCTCGCACCACTTTGGGTCTAGGTTGCTCCGCTGCCAATGCAGCTTCCCAGCCGATGCAGTTGGGAGTCAGCATATGATGGCCCAGGTGCTTGGGTCCCTGTCGCCCATGTAGGAGACTTGGATGGAGTTCCTGGCTTTTGGATTTGCCCTAGTACAACACGGCCTAAACCTTTGCAGCCATCTGGGGACTGAACCAGTGGATGGAAGACCTCTCTCTCTTCCTCTCCTTCGCTCTCTCTGCCTCCTTCCCTCTCCATTGCACTGCCTTTCAAATAAATAAATCTTAATAAACTGGTTCTCTCCCCAGATGCTTACAACAGCCAGGTCTAGGTCAGGCTGAAGCCAGGACCCAAGAACTCAATCTGGCTCTCCCACATGAATGGCTGGCACCCAAGTACTGAAGCCATCACCTACTGCCCCTAGGGTGTACATTAGCAGGAAGCTGGATCTGAAGTAGAGCCAGGACTCGAACCCAGGCACTCTGCGGCAGGATGTGGGTGTCCCAAGCAGAGTGTTAGGTGTGTCTCAGACTCCTGCTCCTAGGAAAGTGCTCTGTGGGCACCGCCTCTCATCTTGAAGAAACTGTTTCATTGGAATTCATGTCAGAAACCCACTCTCCTTGGATCCTCTTCTCAGAACTTCACAAATGAGACCTGAACGTAAAATAGATCGCTATGTATTCTTCTGTGAGTGACCACATAGATACCATACGTAGTAAGCCGCACTGCTGCTTGCCGGTAGGGGGTCCCAGGGACAAATTCTGTGTTAAGTCAGTGGAATTAGGAGGCTGTCCCCATATTCCCCATATGCAGAACCAAACCCTTGAGTCAAATACAACATCCATGAGCTGATGCTGTGGCGTAGCAGGTAAAGCTGCCACCTGCAATACCAGCATCCCGTATCCGTGCTGGTTTGTGTCCTGGCTGCTCCACTTGCAAACCAGCTCCCCACTAATGCACCTAGGAAAGCAGTGGAAGATGGCACTCCCTGCCATCTCTGTGGGTAGATGAAGCTCCTGGCTTCAGCCTGGCCCCGTGCTGGCTGTTGTGACCATCTAGGGAGTGAACCAATGGATGGAAGATCCCTGTCTCTCCCTCTCTTTCTGTAACTCTGACAAATAAATAAATGATAAATCTTTTTAAAAAATACAACAACATTAATTTTATTGGCCTGATTGTTTAATTCAGACAGTTGCCGCAGACTGTGCTTGGTGGTGCTGGGTCTCTGTCTCCGTAGGCAAACAAGCAATTGGAAGCGTGTTCATTTAACTCGTTCAATAGGACGCGCCTGGTGTGGGCTGCCAGTCCTCTCTCTGGTGAGAAGACAGCAAGCCCAGCTCCTCAGGCTGTGGGGGACTCAGCGATCTTGGTTGGAGCCTCCTCACTGTGGGCTGGAGACCGGGTTCTACGCGTGTGCACGCTGCTCAGTTACTTATGCTTGGGCTTGCCTTTTACCAAGGCTCTCAGGCTGCTGCCCTGGGGGTGAAGGCTTGGGAATGCACATCTGTTCTCGTATTCCTCAGGTGGTCTGTTCTAGCATCCAGATTGCCATGTTGAATCTGCTGAAGGTAAAATCACTTGGTATCTCTTAACCCTGCCTTACTGTTTTAAAATAACATTTTTCCAAGCTATAAATGTCGTGCATTTATTGTTAAACTTTTGGAAGTAAAAAATGTAAAGAAAACAAAAACTGCCTGTAGTCTTACCATTCTGAACCATTTACTATCAAAACTTTGGTGCATTTCCACTCATTTGTTAATATTGAAATCATACTATACTCATGTATATACACAACTTTGTAATTTTGCTGTTTTCCTACCATATTATCAACAATACTTTCCCTGGTCATCAATTAATAATAATATGCCACAGTGCTGACCCCCACACAACTTTTAAAAATTATATTTAGGGGGGGCTGGTGCTGTGGCTTAGCAGTAAAGCTGTCACCTGCAGTGCAGGCATCCCATATGAGTACCAGTTTGAGTCCTGGCTGCTCCACTTCTGATCCAGCTCTCTGCTGTGTCCTGGGAAAGCAGTAGAAGATGGCCCAAGTCCTTGGGCCCCTGCAGCCATGTGGGAGACCTCGAAGAAGCTCCTGACTTCAGCTCGGTGCAGCTCTAGCCATTGTGATCATCTGGGGAGTGAACCAGCAGATAGAAGAGCGCGCGCGCGCGCGCTCTCTCTCTCTCTCTCTCTCTCTGCCTCTCCTTCTCTCTCTGTGTAACTCTGCCTTTCAAATAAATAAATCTTTAAAAAAATTCTATTTCTGGGCAGATGGGTGTTAGGTTAAGATTCTGTTGTCTCATATCAGAGTGCCTGGGTTACGTAACTCTCTTAGTTCCTAACTCTGGCTTCCTGCTGATGCAGATCCTGGGAGGCAATGGTAATAGCTCAAGTCACTAGATTCCTGTGCCCTACGTGGATGACCTGGGTTGAATTCCTGGCTTCCAGTTTCTTCCTTGGGGCTCAGCTCTCATCATTTCAAACATTTGAGAAGTGAACCATTGGGTGAGGGTGAGAGTTCTGTCTCTGTCTCTGTCTCTCCTCTCTCTGCCTCTCAAATAAATAAATAATTTTAAAAAATATATTTAAGGGACTGGAGTTGTGGCACGTGGGTAAAGCCACCGTCTGAGATTCTGGTACCCAAATGGGTGACAGTTCTTGTTTTGGAAGTGAACCAGCAGATGAAAGACCTCTCTCTCTCTCTCTCTGCCTCTGCCTCTGCCTTTCTGTAACCTTGCCTTTCAAATAAATAAATAAATAAATCTTTTTTTAAAAAAAAGTTGTATAATGGGGCTGGCATTGTGGAGTAGTGGGTCAGGCTACTACCTGCAATGCCGGCACCCCGGCAT